TTTTTTATCTTTAAATTCTTTATTAGTTAAGGAATTACAAATGTGTCCTCATTCCCCCCCCCCCCCCCCACTCACACAAACACAAACTCATGCTCTCATCCCCCTGTTGTCCATGTCCATTGGTTTGGCTTAAATGCATGCATACAAGTCCTTTGGTTGATCTCTTCCCCTTACCCCCACCCTCCCCTACTTAGTTTTGTTGAATAACCCTCTCATTCTCACCCTCCACCCCCCAAACCTCGTAAGCTCTGCAGTGAGAGGAGGCCCAGGGCACATTTCCTTGACCACATAAAAGGAACATGTATCAGAGGGAGATTCACTTCAGAACTTAAGGTTCTGTATTTTCCTTTCTTTTTTCAAAATGAAAGCTTTTCTGTTGTTGTTTTTGTCCCATTCCAAAAGTAATGCTCTATTCAAGAAACATGTATGTTTTTTTTCTTAGAAGGAATCACAAAAACTGTTGACAATGGTACATTTAGGGAAAGAGAATATTTATTTACTATTTTATTTTTATTTTGTTAGTGGCTTTAACTTTTTTGAATTTTTTCACTGTGCATAGATATTGTCTTTGTTCTTAAAATTTTTAATAAGTTAATACCTTCTAATTCGGGGAAGCTAGCAACTATGGGACCCTAGATGGTGCACAACACCCATCAGCTGACCATGAGCGAGACCATGTGAACTTCTTACCTCCTCCTTCCAGCCTCTGGCCTCACTTTCTTTTCACAAAGTGAGACATACACGTCATGGGTATTTTAAATTCCATGCATAAAGGGGAAGAGGAGCCACGGACGGGGTCCTCAGATTCACAGGCCTGTGATTTTCTTTTGTGGAACAATTGGATTGAATTTGGTTTTGACACTGCATAGGCTGCTAGTCATCACTTAAACACATCAAGTCAAGGTCATTAAAACTTACTACTTTCAGGTTAACTGCCTATTCGGTATATTCCTCCACCCCTGAAAGAGACATGGGGCAGGGCGTCGGGTCCCTGAGCCCTCTGTGTGTGCCTTGTCCTGCGCTGGTCACCCCTGCCCTGCCCTGCCCTACCCTGCCCTACCCAGACCACGGTCGGTCACGTGGTCAGCTTGTGTTCTGGACAGCCCAGCCTCCAACCTCCTGTGACACCCGCTTTTGTCCTTTCTGACTCCGGTGTGGGAACCTTCCTGATGCCCAATGTCCCTTCTGCCCTCTCCCTCTCCCACCCTCAGGGGCCCGGTATCAGGTCTCTTTGCTCAGCTGTCTGTCCAGCCCTTGCTGGCCCCAGCTCATGCCACATAGGAGGCTTCCCCATGAGGTTGTCAGGGTCCAGTGGTCACACTCACAATCCAGGCCCCAAATCTCGCTGCTCAGCTCCAGGAGCCTGGAGAACTGATCTGCCGGTTGCAACCCCACGCGTGCTCTGCAGGGGCCACTGGGACCCTCGGAGCTTGGCTCTGCACAGACCCCTCCAGGTCTCCCGCTAGACCTGGCGACACTAGCCTCCTTTACGGCAGGAGGGTGGCTCTATGTCACAGCACACTGAAAAGCAGTGCTCCAAGATCTGCACTGTCCCCCAACTTAATCTTTGCATTCCTGGGGGAAAACCCAAAACTTTCTTTCTAGCCGACTTCCCTCTCTCCCTGCCCTTTTCCAGGAAGGAACATTTTGCAAACATATCACTAAGCTATTACTCCCAAAATTTAAATGTAGAGAAATAGAGAAATGTTTATTATAGCTGGCCATCCTTTCCAGAGAACGAGCCTCTAATATTACCAAATGTTAACACACACACACACACACACACACACACACACACATGCGTGCGCACACGCGCACACACACACACACACCCTGAAGTAAGCAGGTGGATAATCAATAGTGTTCATTTGCAATCAGGATAATACATAGTCTCTGTGTTGGAGCAGAGATCTAAGCTGGTAATTGCTCTCGTGTTACTCCCCCTGGTTAACAAAGGAGCCATAACCTGGCATTTGTTTCCATTTTAATGTTCAGCTTGTGAGCAAAAGCAACAGCAGGAAGCCAGGTGGACTGCGGGTCCATTGTGTTTGGCCTCCTGAATGCGTATGAAGGGTGTGGGTGCATGCTGAGGGGTGGCTGCTCAGCTTCCCTAGATGCACAGTAGTCACCCAAGTGGGGGCGTGCAGAGATCCCGGTGGCCCCGTCATCTTTGTAGCCATCTCCGCGTGGTCCATGCTTTGTGTGTGGTCTGTTCAGAGCGCCCTGGTCTCTTCTGTCCTCAGGTTCCACGGGATCATCTCTCGGGAGCAGGCTGACGAGCTTCTCGGAGGCGTGGAAGGCGCGTACATTCTCAGAGAGAGCCAGCGCCAGCCAGGATGCTACACGTTAGCTCTGCGGTGAGCGTGACCGTGCCCCCTGTCACACTTGTCTTACGGGCGACTTCACCTTTCCCATGTTTAAATTGCTGTGAAATGTACATAGCATAACATTGACCATTTTAATTCTTTTTACATGTATAATTAGTGGCATTAAGGATATTTTCAATGTTGTGCAAGCATCTCCACTATCCATTTCAGGACTTTTTGATCATCCCGAGCAGAAACTCTGAACCTATTTAGCAATCACGTTGCAACCCCCCCCCCCCCCGACTTATGCTTTATTTTCCCTGGGTTTACAATGCACCCGCAATGTGTCAGAGGCTCACGCACTGCGGGGCCACGGGTGTTACCAGCGAGATGGACACCGAGGCTCTGCACACACAGTAACGGGGGAATTGTCCGAAGGTCAGTGCTCCTATAGCCACTTCTGCCCGCAACACTGAGCCAGCTGAGGGAGAAAGGCTTCGGCTCAGCGGGTCCCCAGCAGTCCTGGTCAAAAGCCTTCACCTCATGAGTGTGCGTGTGTGTGTATGCACATGTGTGTGCACGTGTTCCTGAGCGGACGTTTGTCCATGGCGTTGTCTTGGGGACCACACCGACCCAAAGACCTCCCGGTGGCCCTCATAATGCTCCATGCCAGCGAGCCCTCGGAGCCAAGCCCTCGAGAGCCTTTTCCCACAAAATCACAGGCTTGAAAATTAGAGCCCTTGACATGCATTCACCGCCCTCTCCTCAGCTAGATCCCTGTATGTCATGTCATTTGTCCTCATAGCAGGCCTCTCAGATTTGGGGAAAGCATCCAATTTCCAATTTCAGAATTGGATTATCTTTCAAAATAATCATTCTGTGAACTCTTTGGAGTTTGGAAGACCTTCCCCATGGAGGGAAGGGTATAGATGGAGAAGCTTACCGGCCGGCCCACAAAGGCGTGTTCCGTGCTCCGTCTTCTAGATCGTTTGTCTATGGAGAGATCCCTCCCACATTGCGACCCGGGGTGGCTAGTTGCATGTCGTACGTGATGCCATTAGGAGGAAGCACTTCAAAGCTGCCCAGTGCTGGGTGTGCACAGTCCTCGCCTGTCTTCCCAGCGCCCCACAGCAGGAGCTGCAGGCCCCGTGCGAACCAGGCAGGAGCCGTGAGATGTAGGACCAAGGCCAGGGGGACAGCCAGTCCGAAAGGGAGAGGATGCTCTAAGCGAGATCCCAGGGGCGCTGGCAGTGGTGCTGCAAGCAGGGGCTCAGCACACAGCCCCTCGTTTTCTTAGCTGGACTGCCTGGGAGGCATGCGGGGGGTGGTCAGAGCTGGAATAGGAAGGGGACCGCGGGGCCAGGCGTGGAGCTTCCCTTGCAGAGGCAATTGGCAGTAGAGGGGAGGGAGCATGGGGCGTGGCTACTTCCCATGAAGAACCTTTATAAGTAAGATATATTTGTAAATCAGTGGCTACCCTCTGACTTTTACAAATGAGAATGATAAGGGCCCCAGTGGCCTTAGTAGTCTCTAGGGTTAAATGACACCGTGTGTGAGCTGGGGTTAAATTTCCAGGCGTGTAGGCTCCAGCAGGTACCCCATCTCTTCAAGTCTCAGTGCTCTCAGGAGTGAAACAGGGATAATGCCTGTGACTGTCTCCAAGGGTCTCTATGATAACCAATGGGGGGAAACCATGCCCAGTGCTCAGCCCGGTGCCTGGCAAATAGGAGACGCTCAAAGAAAATGCTGGCTGCTGTTATTCACCAGTCTTACTTCTAACACTGTTCCGATGCCCCCCTGGCCCCCCTCCTCGCAGGTTTGGAAACCAGACCTTAAACTACAGGCTCTTCTACGATGGAAAACACTTCGTGGGCGAGAAGAGGTTCGAGTCCATCCACGACTTGGTCACAGATGGCCTGATAACACTGTACATAGAGACAAAAGCCTCCGAGTACATTTCCAAAATGACCACAAACCCCATCTATGAGCACATCGGATACGCCACGCTACTCAGAGAGAAGGTATCCAGGAGGCTGAGCCGGTCGAAGAACGAGGCCCGGAAAGCGAGCGTCACAAGTGAAGAGCACCCCACGGTTGAAAAGGTAAGAGGCACCTGTGGCGGAGACAGGGTCTGTGTCTTTATGCTGAAAAGCCGGGTGACTGATCGTATGTGTGGTTTGCCAAGATATTGGAGGAAACCCACCACCACCCTAAGAACTCTAGAATTTTAGTGCTTAGACATCTTCCAGTTCAACCCTCCCATTTTACAGATGAGGAAACTGAGACCCAGAAGTGTTCAGAGATTTGCTCAAACTCAGACAGTCAGTCCCAGCACCCCCACAAATAATTATCTGTGGGTTTTTTTGGGATTTGAAAGGAAAAAACCCTCCATGGATGTTGTATGATGACAACAGTCACCTGCTTTTAATTGCATGAGAGGCGTTACAGGCTCCGTCTAGATTGCACCCAGCTGGCCAAACCCGTGCTGTGTGTGGCAGCTTCTCGGAGGACCATGTGCACATGTGCTCCACGGGCCTGCCGGCTCGTAAAGGTGGTCTTACCTCGGTGACAGACTGTACTGACACTGGTGAGCCTTGTGGGTGACGCTGGCTACCTCCCAGAGGCTTAGAAAGACAGACTGTCTTTTGCCCCAAAGAAAGAGGATAGAAACTCCCCCTGGGTGAGCGGTCAAGCTGGATGTACCTGCGGGAGGTGGCAGGGAGATGGGATTTTCCTCTCCGGTACCTTGCGGTGTGTGGGGGGACTTGTTGGATGCGCCCCTTTCAGAACCATCTGCTTTGCCTGGTCCTGTCTGTTGGCCACTGACAGAAAGTGACAGCCGGCCACACCCATCAGCCCCCACGGAGTCTGTGCCGGATGCAGCTTCTAAGGGGAGCTGGGACGGGGCAGATATAAATAAGGGGGCAGACCCTGACACAGCTCCTTCTGGTGGTCGCTAATCCTTAATTAAACCGGAACAGAATCCCCACCGCCCCCGTTGTCCAGTGTTAGCCAAAAGCAAGGGACCGTCAGGTGGGCTGGTGGGCTCTGGCTTTGGCAGTGGGGATGCACCAGGAAGCACGGGGAGGGGCAGATGGGGCAGCACATCCTGTTGGCAGACTGGAGGGTGATTTCAATTGATTTGCTAATTGAGTTTGAGCACCTTGAAGAACCTTCCCAGAATCACATCGGTAGAGCAGCTGGCCCAGGGAAAAAAGTAATTTGCCATTTTCTTTGGATCACGCCAGTGTTTCCAAAGCACCTGCTTATTTTGTGTTTTGTGTTTTTTCCTAAATAATTGACTTGGGAAACGGTGGGGTTTCTGATCGTTTACCTTTTAACGGAGTACAGAGAGGACTTGAGTCCCAGCGTTCAGAATCTGTTCCTGTCTGGGCGAAAGCCATTCCGTAGTCTGTTTGGGAAATCTGTTCCAAAGTCACTTAGAATAGAAAATCTGGACGCTGACCTTCCCGGCCGTGAAAAATCAGAGGATGGATTGTGAAATAAATCTCCGAAGCCGTGTTGATATTTCTGAATCGGAGAGTAATGCCACCCAGAAAGCAATCGGTTACAACTGCAGGCTGTGCACTGGCGCGTGTCCGGGAGAGAGATGAGTGGGAGCGCGCACTGGGGGGAGGAGAGTTCAGAGCTGGGTATTGGGGTTGTTATTTCTCCATCCTTTTCTCCCCTGAGAAGTTCCATCAATAGACACCTATTTCTCTAGATGATATTTCTATAAGGAAACTTGTGCGACAAAATACATCCCTCACTCTATCAAGGGTGGGGAACCCTTTTTCTGCCAGGGGCCATTTGGATATTTATAACATCATTCGAGGGCCATACAAAATTATCAGCTTAAAAATTAGCCTGCTATATTTGGTCAAACATTTCATTAACTCACCCCTAATGCCTTGGCAGGGCCAGACCAAATGATTTTGCAGGCCTCTGTGGCCCACGGACCAGACATTCCCCACCCCTAATATAGATCATCTTGTGTGTATTTATTAAATTTAACATTTGGAGGACATTAATAATCAGGGTACTAATCCCTTTGCATGAGCCACCAGGAAACGGTGAGGAGATGCTGAAGGAAGACGTCCGTCCACACGCAGGGAAGGGTTTGGTGGACAGGTGTCAGTTGTGTGGATTTGCTTGGACGCTAATGATGCCACGTGTGGCTTTCCTGGGGGCACTCTGAACACTGGGCTGGTCACTCGCCGGGGGTCACTCATTCTGTTGGTGGGCGTGTTAAGTAAGTTGGTACAGATACACCCATTTCTCTCTGATCTGTATTGACAAGTGGCATTATTAAAAGTCTCAGTCTTGCCAGCAATTGTTTCCCTGACGGGCAGGTCAGTGCACTGTTGCCATGGAGGCAGTGACTAGAAGAGAGGGGGCAGAAACTTGAATGGATTGACGGGGAAGTGCCCGGGGCCCTGTGTGCTTCGGTCATGGCGCGTCTTGGAGGTTTTAATGAATGGCGTGTGTACATTTTCTAATAGTTCTCCAGTTCGGACAGCCTTGCATTTCATTTTTCGGAGTTCTTAAATGTGGTTCACCCTTTTATTTTATTGATCATTTCCAAATAATCCAGAGAGACCAGCTTCCCTGTACATCTAAGAATGTTAAGTGTTAATTGTCAGAAAGTTATCACCTGCTCCCTTGGACTTGAGTGGTTTCCAGATTTCTCTCCTGTCAAGGTGGCTGGCAGTGAACTGGCCTTTAATAACTTAGATGAGGTAGAGAGATGGGGAGGGTGCAAATGAAGAAAAAGTGGTGGTTGTTAGCCAATAGTGATCTGTTTTCTCTCTGATCTTTTCGTAATTGATCTTAAAAACATTATGATGTATAAGGGCCACCATTTGGCACGTTTAATTAGAATGCCATTGCCCAGTGTAATTTCTTTCATGAAATGGATGTCAAAGTTTATTCCATAGATGGATTATCTACTGACCTGCAAACATGGACTATAAACATCACAGGGTTTAACATTGGTTCAGACAAGCCGGGGTAGGCGGTGGACCAGCAGGTGGCAAGAGGCACTAAAGAAGTGGCAGGCCCGGCCTGTGTGGCTCAGTGGTTGAGCATCGACGGAGCAGATTGCCTCAGCCACCCTGAGAACAGTGCATCTCCAATGCACCTCGAAGCTGTGGCTGTGGCAGCATCTCCCGCAGCCTCCGCCCCATGCAGTGCATCCCTCCCTGGGCTGAGGTCTGACTCGCTGTGGCGTCCTGAGAAGCTGGAGCCCGGGGAGGAGGGTCTTGGAGACTGTCGTGTGCAGCCCCTTTGTTCTGCACAACAGGAAACTGAGGCACC